TCCTTGCCTGCGACCTCGCCCACACTGCGGTGGACGGGGGAGGTTGGCGATGCGTCGGTGTTCCGGGTCTGGGGTTCTCGTGCCTTTGTCCGCGATACCACCGCGGACAAGCTCTCCGCCCGCGCTGTTCCATGTGTCTTCCTTGGCTTTGTCCCTGACGCGCCTGGTTGGCAGTTTTACCACCCCACCTCGCGCTGTGTCTTCCCCTCTCAGGACGTCACGTTCGACGAGTCGGTTCCCTTTTACCGTCTCTTCCCCTACCGCACTGCCCCTCTCCCCCCCCCCGCCGCTCTTCCTCACTCCAGGTGCTCCCCAGGTAGACCCCCTCCCCGCTCCCGGTCCTGCTCCTTCAGGTGTGTCTCAGGTAGACCCTCCTCCCTTGACTTCGCCGGTTGAGGTCACTGGTGACTCAGGTCCTGCTGAGTGTGGTCCTGATCGGGGTGCTGCTTCTGGGGGTGCTGAGCCTGGGGGTGCGGAGTTTGGGGGTGCTGGGCCTGGGGGTGCGGAGCCTGGAGGTGCTGAGCTTGGGCGTGGAGAGTCTGGGGGTGCTGAGCCTGGGGGTGCTGAGTCTGGGGGTGCTACACTTGGAGGCGCTGCGGCGTCTGGTGAGCAGTCTCCCTGGAGCGGCCATCTCCGTAGTCGCTCTGCTGGTGCCTCGCCGCTGCACTCTAGTCGTCGTCTCCCTCTCTCCCCACAGCTGCTGCGTGAGTGGTACGTTAGCCGTCAGGGTCGAGCTGCTGGAGCTGGGGGTCTTGCTGCGGGAGGCGCTGGTGTTGGAGGCACTGGAGCCGGCACTGTCCCTCTATCCCCACAGCAGCTGCGTGAGTGGTACGTTAGCCGTCAGAGTCGCGCTGCTGGAGCTAGGGGCCCTGCTGCGGGAGGCGTTGGAGCTGGTGACTCTGCTACTGGAGTTGTTTCTACTAGAGTTCCTTGAGCAGCTGGTCCCGAAGGTGCTCGTACTGGAGGTACTGGAGCTGCTGGGACTGGAGGTCATGCTGGACCTGGCAGTGCTGCTGTCGACTATGAGGTTGGAGGCCCTGGAGCTGGAGGTGCCGGTTCTGGGGGTGCTCCTGCTGGTGGCGCTGGAGCTGGAGGTTCTGGTGCTGCTGCGGGTGCTGGCGCTGGAGGTTCTGGAGCTGTTGGAGGTGATGGCGCTGGTGGCGCTGGAGCTGGAGGTTCTGGAGCTGCTGCGGGTGCTGGCGCTGGAGGTTCTGGAGCTGTTGGAGGTGCTGGCGCTGGAGCTGGAGGTTCTGGAGCTGCTGCGGGTGCAAGCGCTGGAGGTTCTGGAGCTGTTGGAGGTGCTGGCACTGTTGGCGCTGGAGCTGGATGTTCTGGAGCTGCTGCAGGTACTGGAGCTGGGGGTTCTAGTGCTGTTGGAGGTGCTGGCGCTGGTGGCGCCGGAGCTGGGGGTTCTGGAGCTGCTGCGGGTGCTAGCGCTGGAGGTTCTGGAGCTGCAGGAGGTGCTGGAGCTGCTGGTGCTGGTGGCACTGCGCCGCCGCGACTGTTCTTCGCTCCGCCGTCACCTTCGTCTCTGCCACCACCTGGCTCCGTGCTTCGCCAGGTTCTTAGCCTCCCGTCTTCTACTGGTCTTGCGTTACAGCCTGGCTCACTGCTGCCTGCTCCTTCTCCTTACACTGAGCTGACAGGCAGTCTTGCTAAGCGTCGTGAGCATGCGTCTCATCCTGTCTCGCCTTTTCGCACTGTCCGCACTGGTCGTACTGGTCGTCGTCTTCCCCGTGAGCGTCTGCCGGCTGTCCCCGGCACACACCTCATGGCCCTGCGTCCTTCCTCTGCTCCGCAGCGTATTCCCCTGCCGTCCCCGCCTGCGTCTTCTCTGCCTGACGTTCCAGAGCCTGAGTCTGACCGCGCTCGTGCTGCTCACCCTACCGTCACGCGTCTGCTAGCCACTGTTGTCACTGACCCGTCGTTTGAGTCTGCTTCTGCGTCTGCCTTAGTCGCTGAGCTTGTTTACTTTGCTGCTGCCTGTCGTCTCGACTACGCCGCTAGTCTTGTTGCTGAGTCTGAGTCTATCTGTCCTCCGTCCGTCGGGGGTGAGTGTGCTCTTGGCACGGACGTCCTTGAGGACAGGCAGGAGGACCTTGAGTGTCTTGCAGCCGCTGCGCCTCATCTCGTGTCCATGCTGCTTGCCCCTGAGGGAGACCCAGATGCTCCAGACATCCCGACCCCGCGCTCTTACGCTGAGGCGATCGCGGGTGAGTACTCCTCCCAGTGGCAGACAGCCATGGACGCAGAGATGGCATCCTGGAAGTCCACATGCACTTACGTTGACGAGGTTCCCCCTCCTGGGGCGAACATCGTCGATGGCATGTGGATTTTCAGGGTGAAGTGGCCGCCAGGTTCTCCGCCTGTCTTCAAGGCTCGTTACGTTGCTTGAGGTTTCAGTCAGCGAGAGGGAGTTGCCTTCTTCCAGACCTTCTCCCCCACCCCAAAGATGACCACTCTTCGGGTGCTGCTGCACGTTGCCGCTCAGCGTGACTATGAGCTTCACTCTCTTGACTTTAGCACAGCCTTCTTACAGGGCAGCCTGCACGAGGAGATCTGGCTGCGCCGCCCACCTGGCTTCACTGGATCGTTCCCTCTTGGTACCCAGTGGAGCCTCCGACGGCCAGTCTACGGTCTCCGCCAGGTGCCGCGTGAGTGGCACGACACACTGAGGACGACACTTGCGGCTCTTGGGTTTGCTCCGTCGACTGCTGACCCGTCGCTGTTTCTGCGTACCAACACTTTGCTGCTGCCGTTCTACATCCTCGTGTACGTCGACGACTTGGTCTTTGCCAAAACTGACACTGAGGCTCTCGCCCTGGTGAAGTCGGAGCTGCAGAAGAGACATACGTGCACAGACCTGGGTGAGCTGCGCAGCTACCTTGGCTTGCAGATCACCCCGGACAGAGCACGCCGCACCATCACACTGACTCAGTCACACATGATGCAGCAGGTCCTTCAGCGCTTCGGCTTCACCTGGTCCTCGGCACAGGCCACTCCTCTGGCTACAGGTCACTCGCTCTCAGCTCCACCTTCAGACGAGTCCGTAGAGCCGAGTGGTCCTTACCCAGAGCTAGTGGGCTGCCTCATGTACCTGATGACCTGCACTCGTCCTGACCTTGCGTATCCTCTTGGCCTTCTGGCTCGCTACGTGGCTCCTGGTCGGCACCGAAAGGTGCACATGGATGCTGCTAAGAGGGTACTACGCTACTTGTGCAGTACATCGGGCATGGGGCTCGTGCTTGGAGGACGGAGCGACGTTGTCCTCACTGGGCACTCAGACGCTTCTTGGGTTGATGACCAGACTACGCAGCGGTCGTCACAGGGTTACACCTTTAGCCTTGGCTCTGGTTCAGTTTCTTGGCGTTCTACACGCTCGTCTTCAGTTCGCAGCTCCAGTTGTGAGGCTGAGATCTACGCCACAGCCGTGGCTGCACAGGAGTTACGTTGGCTCACCTACCTGCTGACCGACCTGGGAGAGCGGCCTCGTTCTCCTCCAGTGATGTACGTCGACAACAAGGCCGCCATTGCCTTGTGTCAGGAGCACAGACTGGAGCACAGAACGAAGCACATCGCTCTGCGTTACTTCCTGGCTCGAGAGTTGCAGCAGCGTGGTCAGCTTCGTCTTGCTCACGTGGCCACTCGGTCCAACATTGCTGATATATTCACCAAGGCACTTCCGTCTGGTGATCATCAGCGTTTCTGCACTTTGTTATGCCTTGTGCCCACGTTTCCTCACTTGCTGTAGCCTTTGCCTGTACTGTGATCTATATATATACCTGCATGCTTGCTCTGTTAGGTAGAGATCATTGTGCTGTTGTTGTTGCATATATACCTCTGCATGTGAACTGGCCTTGTGGCCCTTTGTTTGTGCTCAGTGTGTGTGGTGACGTTGTGATCCACCCTGAGCTTGTTTTGCTTCTCTTGAATGGTCTTGTGACCCTTTGTCCTCCCCCACTTTGCCTATGGGGGTGTGTCAAAGTATATGCATGTTATATATGTGTAGGCTATAGTGGGGTAGCCAATATGGGGTACAGCCCCGTTTAGGGTTTCATACTTGTACCCAACTCTTCCATAGTGCATTCATTCCTCGTTCTTATTCTCACATCCCTTCCGTCAGCAGGGTGAGAGCGTGCGGCTGCTGAGACACGTAAACATTTCGCGAACGTTTAGGGTGTGGAGTCGCATGTGCGAGCACGAAAAAGTGTTCGGGTCAAAACACCAGCGAAAAAGACGTAGAAAAAAACAACAAAGCAGCGCAACATGTTGCGCTGGTAGAGAGACGCGGAACGGAGACGCGGAAATTTCCGCTGTGCTGTAGTTTTTTTGCGGAATGTCTTGCGGAACAGTGACGCGGAAATGTCTCGCGGAACAGAGACATGTGTGTCGTTCCGCTGTGGTTGCGCCGCTCTTTTCTCACAGAGGCTCGGTACATAGGCGCGGAACCTACACATGTCCGCGGGGTGGAAGCTGCTTCATGCGGGATTTCCCCATCCCTGCCCCAAAAAGCAGACTCTAGTCATGTGTGTGTGTGTGTCGCAGGCTGATTTGTGTGTTTTTCTCCCGCGGAAAACGATCGTGCGTACGTGTGTACTGTTTTCTTCACTGTTATTTTTTTTTTCCGATGGAACAACATGGAGAAACAACGCTCGCAACAAGGGGCGTGGCTCGCGGGGTGCCTTAAAGCCCAAGACCTGAATTACTCAACGGAAGTCAACGCTAAAAACTAGGCTCGGGAGGTAGGCACGGAGAGGTTCGGTTGGGTTGCGAGAGATTTTCACTCGCGAAACCAATTTGCGACAAAAGTTTCTCGCTTCCCATGATGGTTGGTGCCCTTCCCACAACCAGAAAAGCGCGAGCTTATCAAACTGTGCACAGTTTGAGATAGCACGCAGAGTATTAGGCATAGACCATACCTGTAGACAGGGCAGGGCGTCGGCGTTCACTCAAAAGGGAGTAGATGCGCCATACGATTTGGGTGGCGCGGATTTGCAATGATGACGCGCAAAGCTAGTTTGCGCTGGGTGAAGATTATTGTGTCGAAATGCAGGTTATTGTGCAACTACTCCGTAGCGTAAACTCGTGGCGAAAATCGAATCGCAACCGTTCGCCCAAACGTGACCCTCCCCTCGCCCTCGCTTTCCTTTCCCACGCTTCCGCTCTCTTTCGCCCGCGTCGTCGCCATCGCTTCCGCAGCTCGTCGCGTGCCCGTCGCCTTCGCTCCGCCCGTCGCCTTCACTTCTCCCCCGTCGCCTTCACTTCTCCCTCGTCGCCTTCACTCCCCCCCCTCTTCCGTTGCCTTCATTTCCCCCTCCCGTCGCCTTCACTTTCCCCTCCCGTCGCCTTCACTTCCCCCTCCCGTCGCCTTCAATTCCCCCTCCCGTCGCCTTCATTTCCCCCTCCCGTCGCCTTCATTTCCCCCTCCCGTCGCCTTCATTTCCCCCTCCCGTCGCCTTCACTTCCCCCTCTCGTCGCCTTCACTTCCCCTCCCGTCGCCTTCATTTCCCCCTCCCGTCGCCTTCATTTCCCCCTCCCGTCGCCCTCACTTCCCCCTCCCGTCGCCTTCACTTCTCCCTCCCGTCGCCTTCAATTCCCCCTCCCGTCGCCTTCATTTCCCCCTCCCGTCGCCTTCATTTCCCCCTCCCGTCGCCTTCATTTCCCCCTCCCGTCGCCTTCATTTCCCCCTCCCGTCGCCTTCACTTCCCCCTCTCGTCGCCTTCACTTCCCCTCCCGTTGCCTTCATTTCCCCCTCCTGTCGCCTTCATTACCCCCTCCCATCGCCTTCACTTCCCCCTCCCGTCGCCTTCACTTCTCCCTCCCGTCGCCTTCAATTCCCCCTCCCGTCGCCTTCATTTCCCCCTCCCGTCGCCTTCATTTCCCCCTCCCGTCGCCTTCATTTCCCCCTCCCGTCGCCTTCACTTCCCCTCCCGTCGCCTTCATTTCCCCCTCCCGTCGCCTTCATTTCCCCCTCCCGTCGCCCTCACTTCCCCCTCCCGTCGCCTTCACTTCTCCCCCCCGATGCCTTCGATTCCCCCTCCCGTCGCCTTCCACGCCTGCCACACTCGCTTTCCCCCCGTCACACTCGCTTCCCACCTGCTCACTCGCTTCCCCCCTGCTCACTCTCTTCCCCCCTGCTCACTCGCTTCCCCCCTCCTCAATCTCTTCCCCCCTGCTCACTCTCTTCCCACTCTCTTCCCCCCTGCTCACTCTCTTCCCCCCTGCTCACTCGCTTCCCCCCTCCTCAATCTCTTTCCCCCTGCTCACTCGCTTCCCCCCTCCTCATTCTCTTTCCCTCTGCTCACTCCCCTTGTTCTAACCCCACTTTCCCCATTTCTCACCCATTTTCCCCCTTCACGCTCTCTTACCCCCTCTGCTCGCCCCTGTTTTCCCGACTCACGCCTATACTCACTCTCTCCCCCCCTGCTCACTCTCTTCCCCCCCTGCTTACTCTCTTTCCCCTTGCTCACTCTCTTTCCCCCCTTCTCACTCTCTTTCCCCCTTCACGCTCTCTTTCCCTCCCTTCCGCCCGTTGCCCCCCTTCGTCTCGCGCTCGTCCCCTCGCAATCCCCGTCTCTCTCTCCCCCCGTCGCCCTCGTTTTCCCCGTCGCCCTCCCTTCCACTCCTCGTTGCCCTCGCCATCCCTCCCTTCTCCCTTCCCATCTCGCACACTTGTCACGCCCCCTTTCCAACCCGCACATACACCCTTCCCTTCTTCCCTGTTTCCTCGTATCCCCTGCGCTGCTTCCCCCCATCCTCCGACTTGCTCCCCCCATCCCCTTCACTGCTTCCCCCCAACCCCTTCCCTGCTCCCCCCCATCCCCTTCCCTGCTTTCCCCCTTCCCCTTCCCTGCTTCCCCCCGTCCCCTTCCCTCCTTCCCCCGTCCCCCTCCCAGCATCCCCCCATCCGCTTCTTGGTCACCCCCATCCCCTTCCCTGCTCCCCCCCATCCCCTTCCCTGCTTCCCCCTATCTCCTTCCCTGCTTCCCCCTATCGCCTTCCCTGCTCACCCCTGCTCCCTCTGTTTCACCCTTGCTCCCTCTGTTTCACCCTTGCTCCCTCCCCTTCTTCTCTGCTCACTCTCTTCCCCCTTGCTCACTCTCTTTACTTCTGCTCACTCTGTTCCCCCCTGCTTCCTCTCTTCCCCTCTGTTCAATCTGTCCCCCGCTGCTTCTTCTCTTCCCCTCTGATCATTCCGTTTACTGTCTTTCCCCCTTCACTCACCCCCATACCCCCCAATGCAGTTACAGGTGCTCAGCACCAGATGTGGCTTAGCACGGCCTGGTTTATTGCTTGCAGTGTAGCAGACAAAACCGGAAAGCAACATTACACATACACCCCCTAGCTTTGTTCCCTTCTCGAGTCTGGTGATTCCCCTTACTTTACAGATACTGTAATATATTAATTGTTGAACTCCTTGGTATTGGTCATGTGTATGGCTGCTTTGAGGCTCATAATCCTGTATTATAAAAAAAAATCCAATATATGGCATGGCTACACGTGTGTTACTATCAGACAGCCAGCACATGCACCACCAGATGCAGAGCAGACCTGTCCAAACACAAATCATGAAGTCAGATGTGACGTGGCTGAAGTATAAGGGAAGCAAGCATGCAAAAGAATGACAACTGGCAAATGAGGAAGGGAGGAAGTGAGGAATGCAGGAATGAAGGGAGGAAGTGATGATGGGAGGAAGGGAGGTAGGGAGGACGCTTGGGGGAGAAGCAGAAGGGAGGGGAGGAAGAGAGGTTGGGGAGGAGGGTGGGGAGGAGGGTGGGGAGGAGGGTGGGGAGGAGGGTGAGGAGGAGGGTGGGGAGGAGGGTGGGGAGGAGGGTGGGGAGGAGGGTGGGGAGGAGGCTGGGGAGGAGGGTGGGGAGGAGGCTGGAGAGGAGGGTGGGGAGGAGGGTGGGGAGGAGGGTGGGGAGGAGGGTGGGGAGGAGGGTGGGGAGGAGGCTGGGGAGGAGGCTGGGGAGGAGGCTGGGGAGGAGGGTGGGGAGGAGGTTGGAGAGGAGGGTGGGGAGGAGGGTGGGGAGGAGGGTGGGGAGGAGGGTGGGGAGGAGGGTGGGGAGGAAGGTGGGGAGGAGGGTGGGGAGGAGGGTGGGGAGGAGGGTGGGGAGGAGGCTGGGGAGGAGGGTGGGGAGGAGGCTGGAGAGGAGGGTGGGGAGGAGGCTGGGGAGGAGGCTGGGGTGGGGCGGAATGGGGTGGGGCAGAAAGGGGTGGGGCGGAATGGAGTGGGGCAGAAAGGGGTGGGGCGGAATGGGGTGGGGCGGGGCGGAATGGGGTGAGGCGGATTGGGGAGATGAGGGATGGGGAGATGAGGGATGAGGAGATGAGGGATGGGGAGGTGTGGGATGGGGAGGAGAGGGCTGGGGAGGAGAGGGATGGGGAGGTGAGGGATGAGGAGATGAGGGATGGGGAGATGAGGGAAGGGTGTCAACGGGAGTTGTGTGTTGGCCCCGTCCTCGCTTGGGCGGAGCCGACTTCGTGGTCGGGTGCGAGTGGAGCGGCCGACTTGCAGCAGTGGGCGAGCTGGTTGACGAGGAGGTCGACCTGCGCGGGGGCCACTGTACGGGCGCCGACTTCTGGGTGGCGCCAACTTCAGGGGAGGTCGACTTGGGAGTCGACCCGCGGAGGACGTCAACTTGGTGACGTCAACTTGGGGAAGCCGACTTCGGTGGTCGGCTGACGGACTGCTGGTCGACCTGCTGGTGGTCGACTGGACTTGGTGGTCGACGAAGGAGGGGCCGACGTCGACCTCGACTCAGGACGCCGAGCAGTTGGGCGTCGAGTAGCGGGGCGTCAACTTCGTGACGCCGACTTCGGGTGGCCGACGTGGGTGGTCGGCCGACAACTGCGCTGGTCGACGAGGAGCAGGTCGACCAGGAGTACTGGTCGACGTGGAGCTGGTCGACCAGGAGTGACGTCGACCTGGAGGAGGTCGACCGAGGGCGTGGTCGACCTGGTGAGGTCGAATGGAGGTGGCCGTTGACTTGGGAGGTCGACGGGCACGTACGGGAGCAGCTGGTCGACGTGGCTGCCCAGTCGACCAGGTTACCTGGGTGACGAGGATCTGCGGAGGAATGCGACGGTCGCCCAGGCGAAGTTGGCGAGCCCGACCTCGGTGGTGGTCTCCCGAGGTCGTCGTGGCGGATCAGAGGCAGTCGTCAGCGCGTGGTTGACGTGGTGTGTGCGTTGTGCGGGTGACGAGGCTCGGCCCGCCAATCATCTGCACGCACCTGCGAAGCAGGTGCACTGCTGTTCTGCGTGAGCAACGCTGGCACGCCGTCAACCACGCGACGTTGGCACGCCGTCGACCTTGTACTGCTGGAGCGCGGTCGACCTAGTCGTGCTGGAACGCGGTCGACCAAGCTGCGCTGGCAGTTGGCCGACCTGAATGCTTGCTCTGATGTAGTCTTGCTATGCCAACTTCATTGTACCATTGTTCTGAACTTTTCCTAGTGAAACTCTTGCCAACTTTCCCCGTGAACTAGCAAGTAGTGTGTGCACAAGGAAAACGACTAAGGACTAACGAACGCAGAGATCACACGAGCATCCGTGCCTAGCCCGTAGTCTAGCTCCCGTTGTAGTAGTTATCTCCGCATGGTGCGGTGAGCGTGGACGGCACACGACTTACCTTTCAGTCAGGTCGACGTAGAGGCCACTTACCTAAGTTGACGTAGGCCGGCAGCCGTACAGTCCCTAACGTGCGCGTAGGAGACACCAAGGTGATGGACACCCTGGAGGGACGGCTGGAGGATGCGAGGAGGCGTCATGAGGCCCAGGAGTATGGGGCGATACCCTGGGCGGTCGTCGAGGCTGGACTCGGTTTCATGTGGGCGACGGAGCATCCCTCTTCCCGACCGGCTTCTCCTCGACCGGTGACCAACGAAGGCGGCGTCGACGTGGGCGTCAACGCCGGAAGTGGCCAAGTCGGCAGCAGTGCGGGAGGCACGTCGAGGCAGAGAGGTGTGATTCATGCCGATGAAGTCGGCGGCGTTCAGGCGCGAGGGGGGCAGTCGTCGGCGGCTGCAGGGACCTCGCAGGGCGGCGTCGGAGGTCGACGCAGTGGACAGTCGCCGATGTCGGCGACCCAGGTGACGGCGGGCGGGATAGCACCAAGCTACGGCTACTTCAAGTTTGCGCCGGACAGGATCTTGGTCACCCCGCCGCTCGTCGGTCGACAAGACATCCTCACCTGGAAGGAAGCCATTGAGCCCCAGCTGGAGATGGCTGGGCTGATCAACTTTGCTCGGGGAACGGTGACGACGCCGGACGACCCCGACTTGCGCGCGGAGTTTCGCGCCGTGCAGCTGTTGACCTTCATGGTCATCTCGCGGTGCTGCTCGCCGGGCGTGCAGATCGCCTTGAAGTGGTGTCGGGAGTACCTCGACGCCGGCCACAAGGCGTGGCACTTCATCGAGTCGACCTACCAAGTCACCGACGACCTCTTCATCTCACAGCTGGAGGGGCAGCTGACACACCTGCGTATGGGCGACGAGGAGACGGCGACCGACTACTGCAACCGAGCCCAGCGAATTCTCGCCACCATCAGGATGGCCGGCGCGCAGTACTCGATGGCGTCGTACGTCACCCACGTCATGCAGGGGTTGTCGAGCAACTACAACCTCCTGAAGAGGCTGTCGATGGCGCAGGGCACGAGGACGACGCTCAACGAGGACAACCTGACCTCGTACATCCTGCAGGACGAGGCGATGCAGGAGGCCGAGCGGTCACAGGAGCTCTTGGCGCAGGCCAACTTCGTCGCCCCGGCGAAGCAAGGAGGTCGACCGGGTCATCGCGGACAGTCTGGTAGCGGCGGGAGCGGTGGCTGGAAGTCGACCAAGGAGGTCGACAAGAAGTCAACCAAGGACAGCGGTCGAGGAGGAGGAGGTCGACGTCGGGAGTGCTGGATCTGCCACAGCCCCGACCACCTCTCCTTTGAGTGTCCCGACCGCAGTGACTCCGGCGACGACGACAAGGGCGGCCGCGGGAGGTCGAGCAGTCGTCGTCCTCGTCGAGGAGGGAACCAGCCGCGCAAGGAGAAGCAGTCGACCAAGACGTCGACTTCGGCGAAGGACGCCGACTCCTCTGCTGGCGGCCAGGCGCGGGACGACAAGATGGCGTCGTGCTCGCTGGTCGGCGTCGTGGAGCCGACCGTCTCGCTGGCGCCGGAGGCCGGAGAGGACTTCCAGGCGGTGGCGGCAGCTGTGCAGGCGAACCCGGAGGTGGTCCTGCTCGACAGCGGCTGCTCCCATCACCTGATGGCGACAAAGGAGGTCTTCGTCAACCTGCAGCCGAGCGGCTCCATCAAGCACGTGCGCGGCTTCAATTGGGCGCTGCAGGACGTCAAGGGCCGTGGCACCGTCGCTCTGCAAGGGGAGGCCGGGAAGCAGGTGCTCATCCCCGACGTGCTGTACGTCCCGGGTGTGCGGGCCAACCTGCTGTCGGCCGGCCAGCTGAAGGAGCATGGCGTGAAGATGCAGGAGGACGGAGACGGCATGCTGCTCGTCTCGGTGGCAGGGGAGGTGCTCGGTCGGGCGACATACTCTGGGCGAGTCCTCTGCACCGACCTGCGTCCCTGCTCGACGACGTCGACGTTGCCCACACCGGAGGTTGTGGCTCTGCGGGCGATCGTTTCGAAGACGAAGTCGACGCCGGACCGGATGCACGCAAGGCTGGCACACGTCGGGATGGACACCACCCGGAGTTCGGCGAAGAACGAGGTCGCCATTGGGCTGGACCTCAAGTCGGCGACGGGCGCCGACTCACCGTGTGTCTCGTGCGTCGGCGGGAAGCTGGCGCGGCACACCTTCCCCGACCAAGGCTCCGACGCCGACGACGTGCTGGCTGTCGTGCACATCGACCTGTGTGGGCCGTTCCGCGTGGCTGCCAAGGACGGCAGCTTGTACTTCCTGCTGCTGAAGGACCGCAAGACCCGCTTCGTGTGGGTGCGGCCGGTCGCCAAGAAGTCGGACGTGCTGCTAGAGTTCCAGAAGTGGTTGGTGTTGGTGGAGAGGCAGACGAAGAAGTCGGTGCTGCAGTTGCGCTCGGACCGAGGAGGGGAGTTCCTCGGGAAGAAGTTCACCGACTTCGTGGACGACAAGGGGATCGTCCACGACCTGACCTGCCCATACACCCCGCAGCAGAACGGCATGGCGGAGAGGGAGATGCGGACGGTGGTGGAGTCGGTGCGGACGATGCTGCTGCACATGGGCGTGCAGCACCATTGGTGGCACCTCGCTCTGCGACAGGCCGTCTGGGTCCGCAACTGCCTTGAGCGATCGACGCTGCCGTCTGGGACGACACCGTACCAGCTGCTGACCGGGCAGAGGTCCGACTTGTCGCTGGCGCGGGTGTGGGGCTGCATGGCGCAGTTCCTTGTCCCCGAGCAGTAGCGTGGTGGGAAGCTGAAGCCGAAGGCCAGGTGGGGCCTTCACCTCGGCGTGTCGGCGGCGAGCAAGGGCTGGGAGCTTCTCGACGTTGACGCCAACCGGGTGGTCACCACGTCGGACGTGGTGTTCTACGAGGAGATGTCGCTGGCCGAGTGGAAGTCGGAGCACGGGCCGGTGTCCGGCCGCTCGTCGTCCACCCCGCCCTCTGACACCTCGTCGGCGACGCTGCCGCTGCTTGCCGAGGTCGGTGAGCTTGCTACTGAGGACGTCAAGGACGTCCGCCCCCCTACCCCTCCCCCTCCGACCTCTGCCCCTCCCCTCGTGGCCGACCTGCGTGAGCTGACCTCGGTGTCGGCCTCCGGCGATGAGGGGAGTAGTGGGACGTCGCCTTCGGCGCCGGCCAAGAGCATCGCCGGTGGCCGACGTGACGAGAGGCAGGTCGACATGGGATTGAAGCCGAAGTCGATAGTGGAGGAGCAGGTCGAGGAGCAGCAGCCGACAGGGGAGCAGGCAGCCGTGAAGCCGACTACGGAGCAGTCGGCGACCGGGCAGTCGGCAGGGGAGCCGACCACAGGGGAGAGGTCGACCAGGAGGTCGACCGAGGTGCAGCAGGTCGACGAGGGCAGCGAAGACAGTGACGCCGGGGAGTCCACCGAGAGTGACGTGGTGGAGGTTCGGCCGGAAACCCGGAAGTCGGACAGGGTCCGGAAGCCACCCGACTTCTTCGTCCCCGCTGCCTTCACCACAGTTTACGACGTCGACGATGATGACGACCTGCTGTACGACGACGCCGAGGACGATGAGGAGTTTCCGGAGCTCGACCCCGACATGCATGCCGACCCCGAGCACCGCTGGGACATCTCGACCATGACGGTGAAGGAGGCGTTGGCGAG